GTTCTTCTTTTATTATGTCCCTGGCTTCATACCATAGTTCCTCTGGTTCTTGGTCTATTATGCTTAGTAGTGCAAATCTGTTTTTTTATGTTGTCAGTAAATTCTGTTGAGATATTATTTAGATCATAATCACTGGTTTGTTATCTTCTTGAGTCTTACTCATATTTTTGAAATCAGTAATTCATGATCTGTGCCACAGTTGGCACCTAGTCTAGTCTTGGCCATCAGTATAGAGTTCTGCCATCTTTTGCTTCCAATTATATAGTCTATTTGATTTTTGTGTTGACCATCTGGTGATGGCCATGTGTATAGCTTTCTTTCTGGTTGTATGAAGAATGCGTTTGCAATGAATAGGTTATTGGTTTCACAAAAATCTATCAGATGTTCACCTGCTTCATTTCTTTTGCCTAATCCAAATCTGCCTACTGTTTTTTATTTTTCTTTGCTTCCAACTTTCACATTCCAGTCACCAATGATCAGCTTGACATCCTGTGCTGGTGTGCTTTTTCTTCCTGTACTCCTTCACAGAATCTTTCAATTCTTCCTGTTCTGCCTCTGTGGTTGGTGCATATACTTGAATTATGGTGATATTCATAATAATAATAATCCCGCCCCTCTGTAACACAATTGGGGTGGTTTACAGTTTAAAATTTCCACAATACATATATCCATCAATGTCCTAACCCACCCACCCCTTAAAATAAAATTAAATCAGAAGGAAAAAAATTAAAACATACAATAGTTAAAATACAACATTCATAGGTTCATAGGTTTACCATGGAGCCTTACTGAAATTATTTGGTCTGCCTATCTCCTATTTGAGCATGAACAAAAAACTCAGATGGTGAAAGGGCTGAGCATGCAGCCATTCTTTTATACCAGTTATGCAGCTGCATACTGCCTGTGGAGGCCCTGTTCTTCACACTGCTGCCTCATATTCTCAGGCATTTAATAGTAATACATTGAATGCCTTCAAGCCAACAGGCATCTCCACAACATGCCACCTCCTATTTTTCCTCCAGTCTCAATTCTTGCATTTCTAGATTTGCAGCTTGCCTTTTGCCAGCCTTGCTTATGTGCTCTAACACCCTCCCAATCTATTAACTTTTTAAACACTTGATATTTCTCCTTCTAATTTACCTTTTGGCACCTGCTTGTGCATGTGTATCACCATCTCCAAGTTAGACCATAACTCAGTTCTGGATCACATTCTTTGCTCACATAAGGTCAAATTTAATCCACAACACATTTCTCAACTTTCAGGTCAAGCTACATTCCCAGGTAGCTGTGGCAGTGCTTCTGAAGAGACCCTCCATGGACTCAAATTATTTGGCCAACTAGCTGCCAATCACCAAATGTTGTTAGATGTCTAAGTAGCAATCAGCTCAATTTGAGGCATTCTTAATGCAGGGTCAGTCCCACCATTAGGCTGAGTAATTGATTAGGGGCTGCATAATTTCATTTTCTTTAACATGCATGAGTGTGATGAGAACAGGGCTTGTCCCGTACCATCCTATGTTTGTCATATTCAAGTCCCCCAAATCAAGTCCCCCAACTTAAGTACTTGGAACAAGAGGCTACCGTTAGAACAGAATATGGCAAAACAGAATGGTTCCCAATTGGCAAAGGGTTCAAGCAAGCCTGCATCCTTTCAACCTATCTGTTCAAGTTGTATGCAGAAAATATCATATGAAGAGCAAGGCTGGACATAGAAGGAGGAGGAGTGAAGATAAGGGAAGGAATATCAGCAGTCTAAGATATGCAGATGATATCATACAAGCAGAAAACATCACAGACCTGGAACAACTACTACGGAAGATCAAAGAAGAAAGTGCAAAGGCAGGTTTACTGCTGAACATAAAGAAAACAAAAATAATAACCATGGAGGATCTGCACAAATTCTACCTAGACATTGAGGAAATCGAAATGGTAAAAGAATTTCTGCACCTGGGGACATGGCTAGCCATTGATCATGGTGGATGCATAAAACTTGAGCAGGACAAGATCTCAGCTTCTACCAATTAATTTGAGGGAATTTCGCCCAACTTTCAAGATCAAAAATGCCTATCTAATGCAAGGAACTAAAAGGTCAGTAGATTAAGCAACTTTGGGTTTCTACTAATCTCTTAAAAAGCTAAAAACTCAAACGAAGAACACAGAGATGACATGAGGGAAGGGAGGCAGAAGTGAGAGTCCCCCAACACCAGACCCATCATTTTCAGATCTCTTGGAAAGGCTTCTTGTAAATTTAGTGCAGGAGTTACAAAAAGACTGGGCACTCACCCTTGAGCTGGTGAACTCAAAGCTCACTGCCCTGACAGCCCACATATAACATAGCCCACATATGACATAACTATAAGATAGTGGTTGAGCACATAATTTGCTGTTTAGAGAGGGGTGTTTATAATTCTCAACCAGAGAGCTCCTTTGGTGCCTTTGACCGAACTATAAACCCCAGGATTCTGTAGGACGGAGCCATGATGGTTGAAGTGGAATTATAAGTTTCATTATAGTTTTGTGTGAGTTCCTCAGACATTCCAGGAGAGATAATTTGCTCTTTTTTATAGTCAGAAAAAGTTAACATTAAGATATTTGGCGAGCTAGTGTGGTGTAGTGGTTTGAGTATTGGACTATGACTGGAGACCAGGGTTTGAATCCCTACTTAGGCATGAAAAGAAACCCACTGGGTGACCTTGGCCAAATCACACATTCTCAGCCTCAGAAGCAGACAATGGCAAAGGCCCTCTGAACAAATCGTGCCAAGAAAACTCCATGATAGGGTCACCAATAAGTCACCAATAAGTCGGAAACAGCTTGCTGGTACACAACAACAACAACAACAATAGCAAGAGTTTCAAAGATTTGCCTTGGGGGACTCCCCATGGTTTCAGTGCTAGGGATAATAAAGGTCCCATCCTGACTTGCTGGGTATCAGCTGATGTGAGTGATGGAAGTCTGTTCTCCTATCAGTCAAGGCACAGTAGATTGATGCTTCCATCCCTCTCCTACTAGCAATCTCCATTAGAAGAAGAGATTACAGTGGGAATCCTGCTTCTGACTGTCACATGTAAATTCCAGTCTGATTCACTCCAATTAACAAAAGAATAGATCTCCATCACTCACAATGGACATTATCACACGTGGGCCAGAAAGCGATAATAAAGTGGAAATGAGGCATTCCGAAAATAAACCGAAAATAAACCTTGATTCCACAAATGGCTTTCACACGTAATTACCTTAATTGCGAAATTACAGTAAGCGCATTTAACGTCCACACACAAGTGAGAAAAGCCTGTAAATGAACTAGAAATGATCTTCTTGCACATGTGCAGATAGAGGAATGCTCACCGTGGAACCATGGGAAAAAGCAGGGAAATGCTCCCAATGCGCATTTGCTTTTCGCATTACGGTAAATGCAAAATTACTGTAATTTCGCAAATGCATTTCCTCAAAACTACCGAATTTCAAAAGATCTCAGATAACACCAGTTTCTGTCCAGTTTCTGTGCGACATCGTGTGAAATTGTGAGGCACAAATCCAGTTTCTGTTTGGGATTTGTGTGATAACGTCCAATGACTGATGCCTGGTAAATCAGGATTGGAGGGGGGCAGGCCAGGAGGTAATACATAGCTATATATATTTAACTAATGGCTCTTGTAGCCCCTTTGAGACTCTGAACAAATTATATTGTAGCATAAGCTTCTTCCTCAGATTCAAGCTTATGCTAGTATGTCTTTTGCTCAGTCTCAAAGGTATGGCAAGATCCCTTTGCATACTGATATTGCAGGCTAACACAGCTATGGACTGATGGAGACCGGCAGTTTAGGCCGGCCTGGGGGTGGAGTTGAAGTGGAGCAACCGCATGCCGGCCATCCCAACTCCGCTCTGACTCTGCCCCAACGCCGCGCACCCATCTGCATGGCATGCAGTGTCAGGGAGCCCTCTTGGTGCAGTGTGCATACATGCTGTGCTAAAAGGGCACAAAAGAGCCACAACTACCCTGAAAGGTAGCACTAACTCTATGGAGTGTATGGGGGGTTGCAGACTGCCAGAAATAGTGCAAATTGAGTCCACTTTTAGGGTTAGGGTTAGGGATTCATGGGGACTGTAATTTATTGTGGTACCAGAGCTCTCTGACAGAGAAGGCTCAATGTCCCAGAAAAAAAACAATTCCCATGATTCCATAGCACTAACCCTAACCCTAAAAGTGGACTCAATGTGCACTATTTCTGGCAGTCTGCAACCCCATTTAGGAATAATGCTTCAGGTTTGCAAAGCGGCATTGTTAAAAGGATTAATAATCTAATTTAATTTAAAATAGCTTCCTCTATCAGAGTAGGGCCTTACTAGAACTACCAGGAAACTAAATTTTTTCACCCAAATTGCTGGGACAACATTCTTGTTCCCTTGCAATTGCCTCTAGCCATTTAGTAAACAGTCGTATTAAACACAGGAGTCACCACGTGATGGTTTTTGTTGTGTGCCTTCAAGTCATTTCTGACTTGGAGACCCCAAGGTGAATCTATCACAGGATTTTCATGACAAGTTTCTTTAGAGGGTGTTTGCCATTGCCATCCTCTGAGGCTGGGAGAGTGTGGCTTGCCCAACATCACCTAGTGCAGTGGTAGGCAACCTTTTTGAGCCGGGGGCCGGGTTGCTGTCCCTCAGACAATTGGGGGGCCGAAGCACCAATAATAAATAAATAAATAATTAAATTAAAATTAAAATTAATTTTTTTTAAAAAATTAAAAAATATTTTAAAAATATGCATGCACACTCCCTCAGCCCCAGAAAAGCCATGGCAAAACCCCTGTGGAGATTTTGCCAAGAAACCCCCAAGAACAAGTAATAACAACAATAATCAATATCATCATGGTGGGGGGCGGTGGTGGCGGCAGCAGCGGCGGCAGGACCGGCCTGGGGCCAGTCCAAAGGCCTTGGTGGGCTGCATCCGGCCCCTGGGCCTTAGGTTGCCTACCCCTGACCTAGTGGGTTTACAGTGTCAAGGCGGGATTTGAACTCTGGTCTCCAGAGTTATAGTCCAACACTCAAACCGCTACACCACGCTGTCTGTCTCTCCACCACCTAATATGTTAAATATCTATTCATAAACATAATAGGTCAAATAGATTTTATTCCTTCTCTTATTGGTTCTGGATGTGCGATGACAGGAAGAGAAAAAGAGTTTACCAATGAACTCAATGAAGCTTGAATTGGGTTTGAAGGACATATTTGAAACTCTTACAGTAGAGACAATGATCTTGCGGTAGAGACAGAGATTCCGCTAACAATTATAACAAAATCCACATCTGCAAAACATCCAGTGGCAATTCCTGGCCTGCTTTCTTTTGCCCACCTAAGTCATATGTGCTGACTTTCTACATACTGTCTGTACTGTAAGAATTCCAAATATCTTACCCTTCCTTCAAACCCAATTCAGGCTTCATCGGTAAACTCTTTTTCTGCCCTCACACATCCAGAACTGATACACGAAGGAATAAAATCTGTCTGACCCATTGTTTATGAATGGATATTTGACATAATACCTTTGACACCCTTTTATTTTTAGACACCCGAATAAAAAAATTAATTACTAAACACTCAATTAACAGGGATTAGAATACAATAGGATTATGGAGCTATCTGGCAGCAGCCTCCTGTAAACTGAGTATATGTAAAAGAAATCAGTCTGTCAAGGGAAGAACTAGCCTGGGGTGGAGATTCACACTGAGGACACAGGTGTACAAGCCTTCTCTTCTCTTTATTAAAAGTGGTGATAGCAAAGCCTCCTGCTGTTCCAAGCCAAATTGGTTCTTATCTGACAATTCCTTTCTCTGTCTCTGCCTTTCATATACCTTTGATTAGTCAACCTCTGCAGAGAAGCACTACAACAGGAGGGGAAATAGCGTAGGTCATGCCTGATTTTGTTTTTTCACTGCCAGGGGATTCTTCAGTATGGATTTGTAAAACAGCCAGGGTTGTAGTTGCTGAGTGTTGTGAAAGTGAGTGGTGGAAGTCAATGAAGAAAACATTGGATGCCTTAGACCGCACCTGTCAGGAAATGTCAAATAACAATTAGATCTTTAATTTGGTCTTACTGGAGTTTGTTTGTTTGTTTGTTTCTTGAACCTCTACAAGATTTTATCTGTTTGTTTAATTTCATTTGTATGATGCTTTTCTCTCACAGTGGGACCCAGGGCAGATCCCAGACAGAAGAGTCAATTATAAAAGCTTTACAACAAAAATTTTAATATATTTAAAATCACAACATAAAACAGTATAAAATCATTTAAAAGATATACAAAAGTTTTAAAAGATAAATATGGTGGCCCTTGGTATCCACTGGGATTTGGCTGCAGGACCCCCATAGATACAAAAATCTATGGATGCTCAAGTCCCATTAAATACAATGGCATAATAAAACTGTGTCTGATATATAAAATGGCAAAATCAAGGTTTGCTTTTTGAAATATATATATATATATATATATATATATGGAATATTTTTCAAGCTATGGATGATTGAATCTGTGGATAAAAAATCCATGGGTATGGAAGGCCAACTGTAAAATTCCCCAGTAAGAAGCTCTCCTGCTTACACATAAACAGTCTGCTTAAACAAAAAGCTCTTTGCGGACTGGCAAAAGGAAAGCTGGGAGGGAACCAGCCTAACCTCCCCACGGAAGGGCGTTCCCGAGGGTGGGAGCAGTCAATGAGAAGGTCTCTCCAAGCAAGCCTGTCATGATAATAATAATAATAATAATAATAATAATAATAATAATAATAATAATAATTTTTATTTAATACCCCGCCCCTCTGAAAACAATCGGGGCGGCTTACATCATAAAAATCCAACAATAGTTAAGAACAATTACCTCCCCCTCCCCCCCTTAAAAATATAATTAAACTCAATACAATTTAAAAACAATGTAAGGAGGTAAATTCCTCCATTAAAACGACAATACATAACATGCATAAAAACAAAAAACAAAAGAACAAAAGTGGCCGCGGATATCGCATACAGGCTCAATAGATGGTGGGACCAAGATGGTGGGACCAAGATGTTAAGAGATGTTTGTGGGACTTCCTGCTTCATGTGCAAAATAATTTTTGTAGTTTTGGATACTGGCTTCCAATTTGCTTCCAAGCTCAATTCAAAGTGCTGGTGTTGACCTACAAAACCTTAAATGACTTGAGGCCAAGGTATCTGAAAGACCACCTCCTCCCATATGAGCCTGCTAGAAATTTGAGATCTTCAGAAGATGCCCTATTGCGTGTGCCAACACCTTGTGAAGTCAGCTTGGTGCATACACATAAGAGGGCTTTCTCTGTAACAGCATATCTACTGTGGCACTCCCTGTTCAAGGAAGTTAGGCTGGCCCCATCTCTTTTAAGCTTCTGGCAGGCACCCAAAACAGTGCATGTCATTCAGTGATTGAAATTGCTGTTTTATTGGTTTCAAAACTGGATTCAAGGAGCCTAATTGTTACAAAACTTGAGTCTTAACTATTTTTAGACTGATTTTAATAGTTTTTAAAGAGTATTTTAATGTGTTTTTTTAAAATGCCTTTATCATTTTATTGTTTTAATTACTTTTTATTTGTTCACCTCAGGAGCTCTTGAGAGTAAGTATAGGGAGGTGATGTTCGCTGTTATTCCTCAGGTAGCAAAATGTCTTGGGACCATCCATATGAGAGGCACACTGTACATTATTTATAAATGTATATAATGGCCCCCCTCTCTCTCTCTCTCTCTCTCTCTCTCTCTCTATGTATATATATATATATATATATATATATATGAAGCCCACTCTTGAGATGATGCAGCTTTCATCAGAGGAGCAGTAGAAAGAAGATGTATTACACTTTTCCTTGCTAACCAATCACCTTCTGAATCTCCTGCTCCCACCTCTTCTTAGCCCAACTTATGATCTTTCAGGCAGCGTTCCAGAAAAACCTAAAAGAACATGAAACAGCCTTTTATCCCAGACCCAAATTAATTGCCATTGTGAAATCCCATTTTAGAACTCATAGTTTGAGATTATAGCAGTGGCTATTCTTCATGACATCAACTGAATATTGTTGCAAATAACTTTGGTAGAAAAAAAGACACGTCCACTTAAATTAGGTACAAGTTTAGAAAAAAAACAAACCCTAAAGGCACCAGATCACATCTGATCTTTGAAGTTAAGCATGGTCAATCCTGGGTAGTATTTGGATGGGAGATCCCCAATGAATACCAAGTGTTGTAGGCTGTATTTCAAAGGAAGGAACTGGCAAAACCACCTCTGAGTACTCCTTGCCTAAGAAAACGCTACCAAATTCACGGGGTCACCATAAATTGACAGGCAACTTGAAGGCACACCTACACAAACGCACAAACCTAAGATTTCTGATTTTTATGCCATGTGGCAAGATTTAATCTCATACACAAATCAGGGCCAGATATAGCAATATTTATCAAAGCTTTTCCTCAGATTATGAAAAGAGTTTACCTCCCCCCCCCCAAGTTAGAAAGATGTAGGAGAAAGTGTGTTTATGTGTATGTGTGCCTTCAAGTTGCCTGTTGACCTATGGCAACCCCATGAATTTCATAGGATTTTCTTAAACATATGCAAAAAAAAAAATAAATATCAAAACTTGATATTTATTTACACATTCCTGTAAAGTAAAGAAAATACATATTTTAAAGATGTTAACTTTTGTCAGCACTCAGATCTAGCTATAATGTAACTTTTTTTCCTTTTTGGTGTGGTCTCTTTTTAAATCTTGATTTTATTTCTTATTATCTGTCATGTCGGGTGGGTAGGGAAAAAACATTGTGATATAGGATTCTAAGCATCTAATGAGAATTAAGGAATAAACAGATCATGGGACATTGAGCTATAACAATAACAAATCTTTTTATCATCCCTCTCTCTGCAAATATATTCTTATGCCTTTTGCCACACCTTTTAAACTTTTTATCTCCTCCTTATTTGTATTAATTAAAAAGACAAAAAATCCTTGGAGCAGAAATTTGTATAAGTACTTGTTCAACATAATGGGTGCTCAACGGCATGATACCAATGTAGTTCTTCAAGTGGCCATCTGTGAATACGCATAAATGGGTTATCTATACCTGTGCAGTGGATCATTATGAACTTTCTAGAGCTATTACATAAGCTTATTGGCAGTAACTCCAGGTGTCTTACTTCCTGTTCCAAACCCTAAATTCCATGGGTTCCATCATCCAAGGAGCTAAGGAAAGACAATACATGGCAAGGGAAGGATGGGCCGTGGTTGGGTCATGACAACTTTGCCCCTATGAAAATATAAGTAGGATTTGTCCATTCTTTGTCCACATAACTCTTCTGCACTCCTGGAAAATGTAATTGCCCCCAAGAAGGCCCTCTTCCAGGTAAGTAGACAAAGATCACAGGAGGCCATTGGCTGAAAAGGTTTCCCGGAAAGCTGTGATAGCACCAGCTCCAGCTCCATGGAGGAGTTGGTCCTGAGACCAGAGGATGAAGATTCTTGTAACCCTTAAGGAATTTCTTCACCAAAGGGTTCTAGAAGCTGAAAAACTTTCTGATGATGTGGAAGTCAGCTGAGATGGTGGCCAGGTAATATTTGATAGAAGACAGGGAAAGGCCTCTATCAGAAAGAAACAGAAGCAATTAAAAGACATGTTGAATCCAAGATTGAGCTGGATCGATCACCCAAGGTGACACGAGTGACATGAACTTCTTCCACTTGTAAGTGTAAGACTACTGGGTGAGAAGTCTATGTACTGCAATGATGGTCTGTTGAATGGTATTAGGGTGATGTGTCACAGGAATAGTGAGTGAGAAGTACCATCTCGAGATGTGTCTGCCCAAATTGCAGATTCAAGCAAGGATTTAACTGCCACTCTCTACAAAGACTCAGAGTAGTTGAGGCTGAAACCAAACAAGGAGGAATGGACTGGAAGGTGCAGGCTTGAGAGTTTGCTCATACAGCAAAGCCTTCAGCCTGGAATCATAGTTCTTACACAGCTGAGATGTGAATGCCTTACAAGACCCCACATTGTGCCCCCCCCGATCCTGTTTGA